GGCAGTACTGATGATGTCCTGCCTGGAATGTGCTGCCTGTGGAGCCCTGGGAGATTCAGGAGGCAGGTGAGGGGCGGGGACTTACAGGGATGTTATGCATAAATAGATACATTAGATATAGATATAGGTATAGATAGAGATAAATGCATTATAAATTGCTGGTACAAAAGCAGGCAGGGAATGCTTTCCCAGGTGGCACTTCGGGGCTCTCTGCAGCGCTGCACCAGCACTCTGGGCCCTTCCCAGGGTCAGTCTCCATTCCTGGATGTGAAGGAGCCCTAGCCAACTGTGCCCAGGCTCCCTCTGTGTCCCAGGTGATGCCGTGCAAACCCCTGGGCTCCCGGCAGCTCCGTGTCTGGGCTGTGGGCTCTGGGGTGCTGGTTGCACCAGTAACACCTCCCCTGGACTTCTGGCTTTGCTCTCACTCTGTCTTTTCTCCTTCCTTTGCACTATTAAATCCAAAGTAAGACACTGTGTACTGAACACTGCCCCGAAAAATGATCTGCTGCGCCGGGCCAGGTGCTGAGACGGCGTTTCCTGCCTCCGGCACACGCATGGGAAGTCGCCAGCTACAGCCACCGCTCCAGCAACGCCCATCACCGCCGCCTCGGGGCAGGATCCCCAGACTAACCCTTCCCTCTCTCCCTCCAGCTGCCACCTGCGAGTTTTTGGACATCGTGGAGCTGTTGCTGCAGTCGGGAGCAGACCCCGGGCTGCGGGACCAGGAGGGCTGCCTGCCGGAGGAGGTGACAGACTCCAAAGCCATCACTTCGGCTCTGCAGCAGCACGTCACCGGCGAGCCCTGACCCTGCGGGGGGACAGAGATGCTCTGCAATAACGCCCCTTCCCCCCCTCCCCACTGCCCTCCCCAGTCGCCTCGGGTGTTCAAGGGGACCTTTTAGAGCACAGGGGCTGGCTGGGCTCTCCAGCACGAGGGCCAAGCACATACCCTGGGCAGGATGGGATCAGAGTTCTGCATGCTCTGACATTTATCAGTATTTGAGGGGGGAGGGAGTGGGGAGAGGGCCTGGAGAAGGCCCCAGGAATTATTTTAATGTATCAAACACAAGTACTGCATTGGCTGTCTCACTGGAGCAGCCTGGGCTGACTGGTCGGCTCCACCGTGGGGAGGGCAGGGCTGCTGGGCCAGGTGAGGGATGCTCATCTCTCCCTTTCAGGTTGAACTTTGGTTTATTTTTTTTTCCCCTGGGTCCAAACAAAATATTATAAATAAAAGCACAGTGTCGAGATGGAGTGTTTGGTTTTTTGGTTTTGTTTTTTTTTTCAGGGAGTGACTTGATTCCTTGGGAGCAATAAGGATGGGAGGTAGCTCAGTGCTGCCACAGCTCTGCTCAAGCTCTTGTCCTGTGGAGAGAGGCCTGCAAGGGTCATACAAGTGTCTGTCTGTCCCTCTGTTTCTCACATAACACGTGTTGCTAACCAACCCTTCCAAGCTGACAGGAGTTTTACCACATCACACAACCACTTTGTTGAATAAAATGGCTTTAAACCCTCTCCTCCATAATCAGCTCCAGGTCTTCCTGCCATGTGCCAGTCCCTGGAGTGGCTCATTCAGAGCTGAGGTTTGGTAAGAGCTGGGCACAGAGATAAACCTACACCCACCTTGTCACTCCTGTGGGCCTCTCAGGTACTTCATGGTCTTCTCAGCTGGCCAAATATCCAGAAAGCTGGAAAAATGTGCCTCATGGCAATGCCCAAGTGCTGGAGTGAGGTGGGAATGGTTATGGGGCTTCCTGCTTCCTCATCAGGGTCCCAACTGGGCTGTGCTGGTGAGTCACAGGAGCTGCCAGGGCTGGGTCTGTGCTTTGGGATAGGTGGGAGGGAGGCTGCTGCCTTGGGTGAGTGTGTGGCAAGAGGAGACCGTGCCATCCCTGTGGGACATTGCTGTGAGTTTGCTTTTCCCCAGACAAGATTTACAGCCTTGGGGGGAGCATAGGAAATCTCCGTTGCTGTGACAGGAAGCCACTTGCCATCAAGTCCTTTCTGCAGCACATCCAGCCTCAGGAAAACAAATGGGAATGTTCCCTTTGCTGAGGACCGGTTGGGCAGGAGGCACGTGAGGGTTTTGGCCCCTCACGGTGTCTGTGGCTCCTGCCAGCGCTGACAAAGTCACTGCACTGGCTCCAGCACCGCCACTGCACCACACACAGCACGGGCCAGGCTCCATGGTGAGGAAAATGGCTTGGAGAGTTATTTTCCATTAATATTAAGCCAGGGCCTACAATGGCTTCTGCTCCCCTTCCCCCTGCCCAGGGCACCCCCAGGCTGGCAGTGGCTTTAAACCCTCATCACAGCCCGTAGCTTTTGCGTCCGGGTAGCAAAGACCCAACCACAGTACTGGGGTCACACTGGCTCTGTGATGGTGGTGGCATCAAGGCTGGGGACAAGCGAGGCCACCACTGTGCAGTGCCATAATGCACAGCCACTGCCTGGCTTGATGGACACGCTGGGTAGTAAAAAACCTCTTGTTAAAGCCGGGATGGAAAGCAGCAGCCACGGTGCTGGTGCTTTCAGAGAGCACATTTGGGGCCCGAGCGCTCAGCCCTGGAGATGTTTATAGCACTTTAGGTCTGTTTGTGAGGTTGGAGCCTTTCCAAAAAAAAAAAAAAAAAAAAAGAAAGCAGGGGTGGGGGGGAGGAGAGAAAGACATATATTATTGTTTATAATCTGCTTTATTCAGCCAAACCTTTCCCCAGCAGCCTTGCGGATTGCTGTTTAAATCCCTTGGTGCCTTTAACTACCGATACAGAAAGTGGTTAATGTGCATTCGCCCTAAGCTTGGCATCTACTCCAGGAAATCACTTTAATTGAGAAGCATTAAATGTTAAAATGATTAAAATATAGAAAGCCAACACACCGGTGCCCCCACGGAGGGGCTTGGACCCCCCCATCCTGCCTGGCACGGCTCTTCCATCTCACCTGTGCTGGGCGAGTGCTGCGGTGGCACAGCCGGGCACCAACTGCCACCTCTGCGGGGTGGCAGGAAAGCTGTGGCACCTCGGGGTGCCGTGTGGCACTGATGGAGACGCCCACCCCAAACCCACCCACCCCTCTAAAAAGCCAGGGCACCATGACCAATGTCACCTGTTCCATACAGGAATGCCAGCTTCATGGACAGGACGCCAGCGATCCCGACCCCAAACAGCCAGGGGTGCCGGAGCAGGCAGTGCTGATGGTGACCACGGCCCTCCCACTGAGGAAGAAAATCCCAAAGACAGCAGCTGCTAAAGAGCATCCCGAGTTTATTTGCCATCGCTTTCCCTCGTAGCGGAGGGGGTGACTGTACACATCTCATGCCAATGCACCGGAGGCAGGGAACAAAAGCAACGCCCTGGGCCCGAATTCAGGAGCACTGGGCAGGATCAATTCTCCCCAAGACATGGCAATAAATAAGGTTTTATTCTTTTAAAATTTTTTTTATTATTATTTTTGTTGGGTTTTTGTTTTTGTTGTGTTTTTTTTTTCCTTTTTTTTTCCCCCCAGGAAACAAGACTCTCACTTTCTGGAACTGTACAAAATTTACACAGCGAAGGGAGGAGGAGACATTTGGCCTTGTCGAAGGGGGATGGAGAGCAGCGGGCACGGCTCTCCCCTGTCCCCCTCCCCACCAGTGCCAGCAAGGCCGGGGGCTTGGCACAAAGCAGCATCCAAGGATGGGGAGGGGGGAGGCACGTGGATGCAGCTGGGGCAGCTCCTGCAGCACCAATGCACCCAGCTGGAGGGGCAAGGAGGGACAGGGACAGACCAGTGATGTGCTTTCTTGTGTGGCTTTTTTTTTTTTTTTTCATTTTTATTCTTTTTTCCCCTTTGCTTTCAGAGCTCCCAATGCCCCTGGCAGCAGCCAGCTGAGGGGATCCACCCCCAGCCCTCCCTGATGGATGGCAGTCTGGGGTCATCAGCATCACCCCAGAGCCAGAGGGGATGGCAGGGACCCAGAGGCTGGGGCACCCCTGTGGGGTTGGGACAGAGCTGGGCACCCCGGGCAGAGAGCGTGGAGCTGGATTTTATCCATGGAGCTGAATGTCTGAGGGTAGGGGATGCGGACTGTGCTGGGGGAGACAGGCACATGGGTTTTGAGCAAGGGGCTGGTGCTGGGTGGGCCTGGCCAGGAGCAGACCCCATGGGGCTTGCAGGATGTGCCAAAGTCACCTGAATCCTCCCTGGATGCCTGCACCCACCCTTGGTGCCATCAGCCCCATGGCACCAAAGGACATCGGTGGCCTATACCAGGGACATCTCACACCCCAATCCCCTCCACTCCCCACCATGCAGCTGCTTCTGCAGCTGACAAAATACTCTTTTTCCCCTTTTTGGGGGGAATTTTTTGCAATACCCTCAGAGCAAACATTGCCCACCTCTCCCACCCACCCTTCCAGCAGCTGCTTTCCAGGTGCCAGCCCCAAGCATCCCTGCTGGCTCCACCACAGCCCAGCTTGGCCAGTGGGCATCCCGAGCCAGAGGCATTGTTTTTTAATTCCTCCTCATCGCGTGACCATGGTGAAACCGCAGTGATGCTCCATAAACACTCCTGTGTGCCCAGGGATAAATCATGGCCCCGCGGCCACCACGCCAGGAGCAGGCAGGATCTTCCCCGGCGGCATCGCTCCGGGCAGCGGGACAGTGGCCCCGCTCGGACACGTCCGCGGCAAAATAAACCCTTCTACAATATAGATTTCTCTTTCTGCTGAGGCTCCGGGCAGCGCCGAGTTGCATTTCAACTCCGTATCGAAAAATAACTCTTGAAAATAGCAGCGGTGCTCGGCTGGGGGGTGCGGGAACTGCGGGGCTGGCGCGGGTGCCGGGACGGACTCTGCCATCCCTGATTGTCCTTCTTTCCCTCCCGCTGTCCCACACCACGGCCGTGCCCCAGCCCTGCGCCGGGTCCTCGCCGTGCATCCCGTGCGCCGACACCTCTCTTGTGCTTACACCCGAAGGCATCCGTGCCCCCCGCCCCGAGCACAGACGCCCCTACCCACCGCCAGTGCTGCCCGCCCCTCCCTGCAGCCCTCCGGGGCCAATTCCCATGGGAAATCCTGGAAAGGTCAACCGCCGGCGGGTGCCCTCAGTGCTGCGCTTGCGGGCTGGGGGGAGAGCGAGGGGGCCGGGGCGGGGGGCGAGCAGCGCTTAGAAAGGGGGGTGATCCATGTCGTCCAGCCAGGAGGCCGGGCTGGTGGGAAAGTCTGGGTACCCGACGCTGCTGCCCGTGGAGATGTCGGAGGTGGGGCCCCCCCCGGCCATGGCCCGCAGCGTCTGACTCACCCCCTGCGCCCCGTGGGCCACCAGCCCCAGGCTGCCGTCCATGGCGTAGTCCAGCCCGTTCAGCAAGGGCGGGTGGGACGGCAGGGAGGAGATGGAGGACGGCGACTGGGGGAGGCCGTAGGGACTCCCGTCCCGCAAGTCCTGGTACGACTGTCCCGTCCCCTCCATGGAGAAGCCGCCGTTCAGCAACTGCCCGCCCGCCACGGCCCCCACGGTGCCGTAAACCCTGTTGTTGTGGCCCAGCTCGGAGAGGATCTGGTCTTCTGCCGGGGAGAGGAGGGACAGCAGAGGTGGGGGGTCAGCGCAGGGGGTGGCCCCGCGGCCCCCCGGCCCCGCGCGGGCGCCCCGCTCACCGCGGAAGCTGAGCTCGCTGTCGCTGACACCGCAGTCCTCGGCCGAGCTCTCCTTCTCCAGCTTCCCACCCCCGCGGCTCCGCTTCACGCTCTTGTAGAACTGCCCCCAGCGGTGCCGCCCCGCGTCCTTCTTCAGCCGCTTCTCCTTGGCCCGGCGGTTCTGGAACCACACCTGGGGCGGGAAATGGGGACATCGATGGCACCGCGGCACCCTGGCACTCCTGCGTGCCAGCGCTCCTGCATCCAACACCCATGGAACTGCTACATCCCTGCACCTCTGCTACCCAACACACTCCAACCCCACATGCTAGCACCACTGCAATCCAGCACTCCTGCACCTCAGCATGCCAACACCCCGGCACACCAGCATCCCAGCATCCCTGCAACCCAGTATGCCAGCTGGGGAGGGGGGGGCCACATGGATGCGGCACCAATGCGCCCAGCTTGGAGGGCAAGGAGGGACAACAAGGAGGGACACACTCATACAACCCAGCACCCCTAAACCCCAGCACCCCTAAACCCCTGCAACCCTGCATGCCAGCACCCCTGCACCCCATCTCCCACACCTCCATGCAATCCAGGACCCAAACATCCCTCCAGCCCAGCTCCCGAGCAGCCATGCCACCCCAATACCTCTGCCACTCCTGCATCCCCTGAAATGCAGCACCCAGACACCCCAGAGGGACCTCAGTGTCGCCCTTCTCTGGGGGCAGGGTGGAGAGGGGCACCCCCACGGCCTCACCTGCACCACCCTCATGTCAAGCCCCGTCTCGGAGGAGAGCTGCTCCCGCACGTGCCGGGCGGGCTTGGGGGAGTTTTTGTAGGCATTCTTCAGCGTTTCCAGCTGCTTGGCTGTGATGGTGGTCCGGGGCCGCTTCGCGCCCGCCTCGGAGTCATCTGCAAGTGAAGCAGGCGGTACCATCCCCGAACTGCCAGCCCACGGCATTGGGAATATCTCCCCAGAACCAGCCGTCCCAGAGCCTGCAGGGACACCTTCCCACAGGCTCACCAGTGGCACGAGCCATGGCCGGCCCTCGGTGTGCTGTGCCCCTCGCAGCCCCTGAGGGGTCCCTACCGTTCTGCTTGGCAGTCTCGTAGTCCTCCTTGCAGACCAGCCGCCCGTCCTCCATCAGGTAGAACTCATCCCCCGTGGCCAGCTGCCGGCTGCAGATGATGCAGGCGAAGCAGTGGAGGTGGTACACGAAGTCCTGGGCCTTGCGGACCACCTGGGTGGGGGGGATGCCCTGCTGGCACGCCGTGCATTTGGTCCCGAAACGCCTGCAGGGAGAAGCGGGTGACCCTGAGCCCCCCGGCGAGGTGGGCTTTGCTGGGCAGAGATGGGACTGGGACCAGCAGACAGGGCAGAGTTTAAACCAGCAATCAACCTTATTATGCATGACACTTCACACGGCGGGGGGTTTATCTTCCTCAGAGTGAGAGACCGGCCTAATGGAGCTGAGGAAGGTTTGATTTTAATGGTTCTTTTAACTAATGCTTATAGGCTGCCTGATTTTCCCCTGCAAGGACAGTACATATTTCATCGACATTAATACCAAATAAATTAATTACGCCGCCCCGCTGGCAAGATGAATCCCAGATTAATGCAGAATGATGGGGCTCTTACACCATAACGAGGGCCTGGCAGGGGCATTGGGTGGGCTGCTGTGGGGCAGGTGTTGGAATGAGCAAAGCCACCAGCTCGGCTGCAAGGAGTGTGCAAGGAGTGTGAAACAGCATGAAAGGGGGGTGCAGGAATGGGACAAGGAGTGTGGAAGGCACATGCAATGGGTGTGGGAGGAGTGTGCTAGGAATGTGGAAAAAGCATGCAAGGAACACGTGGAATGGTGTGGAAGGAGCATCCAAGAAGTGAATTCCCTGAATTAACAGCATGAGGGTGACACACGCCATGAGGTGGTGGCAGCACAGGAGAAAGTCAAGAGTAAGTGGACATTCCGCTGGTGTTTTCAGCAACAGATGCTGTGGGATTGAGATGGGGCAGATGTCCACCTCCCATTGGCACCACAAGGGCTCTGCAGGGTCTCCCCTGCTCCCTGCAGTGCCCCTAAACCCCCCATCAGCAGGACCCCAGGACACCATGGAGTCACTCTGGCATTGCAGCAGCAGCCCAGGTGAGAAAGCTATTGGAATAATCTGTCCTCTACGCCTTAAACAGCTCAATCTGCTTTGAAGGAGGCAGCCCAGGAACACCCAAGCCTTTTGGCCCCAAGGCTGCAGGGGCAGGCAGGGACAGGCAGTGGCATTCAGGGGAGCCCGGGGGGGGGGTGCAGCCATCCCACGCACCTCTCACTGTCCCCTGAGGGCTGAGCATCCCCTGATGGTGCAAAACCACCCTCAAGCCCCATGGTTACCCACGCTCTCATGCCCTGTGGAAAGCCAGGACACAGCCACCAAGGCTGGGGCCTTGAGACAGTCCCAAAGTCACGCAGGTGTCACCCAGGGACGGGTGGCAAGCACTGGGCATGAGTGGTGCCAGCACTGTTCCAGGGTGTTGGAAGCAGAAGGTGAGGAGGAAAACCCTGGTTTGCCTCATTTTCTGGATTTGTATCCTAAAGGGAGAGTGCCTGGACATCTGCTGGGGAGACCTCAGCTGGGAGGGAAGGTGTGGGAGGGAGGGAGGGAGGGCAGGAAGGAGGGAGGGAGATATGGGAGAGGGATGTATAGGAGATGGACAGAGAGAGGGAGGGATGAAGGGAGGGTTGGAATGGAGGATAAAGGGATGGCAGGAAGGAGGGAGGGATGGATGGAGGATAAATGGAAGGATGAAGGGAGGGTTGGAATGGAGGATAAAGGGATGGACGAAGAGATGGAGGGAGTCATGAAGGGATGGTGCAAATGGAGGGAAGGAGGGAGGCCGGCATGTACATAGGGAGGGGTAGGACAGACAGACGATGCTTTTCTGCTCCAAAGGCTGAGCTGGTGCCCGCTCTGCAGCCCCCATCCTCCCTCAGCTCATCCACCCCCTCTCACAGAACACTATAAAAGCCATTTTAACACCTCCTCCAGCATCCCGGGGGGGGTTTCACACCACCTGGGAATGGCCGGTCCCAGCACAGAGACACCCATGGCTGGGGACCAAGAGCTGCGATTCGGGGGAGGGAAAAAAAAGATAAAAATCAAAAATCAATCTGATCTTTTCCGAAGCAGCTCCCGCATTTCCAACTGCCTCTGAAGTTGAGCCGAAATCCTCACGTCCTCCACAGGTTCCCTTCCCCGAAATCAATGAGCGGTGAAGGAAAGGTGAGGCAAGTGCCCGGGCGAGCGCCGAGCTGCTATTGATTGGCACCAAATAATCCAGGCAGGACCTCATCTGAGAAAGTCACTGATCTTTCAACTCCAATTAACATTGATTACCCGCACCTTTTGGGCGACTATTTAAATGACTTGGAGATTAATAGGCTGGAAAATATCAGAAGTGAAGTGTTATTACCCAGGCTGGAGCGGCTGCTTTGACCGTCGCTGGGAAGGAGAAATTCAAGCTGCATCTTTGGTCCTGATGGATGAGGAGGAGATGTGGGGGATGTGGGAGGCCTGAGAGCACGGGGATGGGCAGGCAGGTAAAGTGCTGTCTGGGGAGTAATTGTAATGGCCATCGGTTGGTTTAGCTGGCTGGTGGTGAGGGGTGACAGGTGACCCTCTGCCATCCCTTGGGAAAAACTCCCAAATGTCACCGGCAACCAGGGACCAGAGCATCTCCACTGAGAAGTCCGTTTTTAATGGAGAACAGGTTGTCCTGTCTCATGGGAGCAGGGAAACGCCAAGGCTGGGGCACTGCACAGCTCAGAGGCAGCTGCCAACGCAATCAAATGAGGTTTTCACACTAATGGGAGCAAAAAAAAAAAGGTTAAAAGAAAAAAAAAAAGGAACAAAAGAAGAGGTAAAAGGTGAAGGGAAAGAAACAGCATCAGCAAATCGCGGCGAGGCGAGTGAAGGACTTGAACAGGCAGCGTTATCGCTGCCTTGTGCGGGTTTCTCCTGCCCTCTAGCTCCGAGCGGAGCCGGGGCCGCTGCCGAACCGCCGCAGGTTGTCACCCCGAGGGGCTGAACACCCGCACTGGGGAGGCACAGGAGCATCAGGGAGATTTGGGGCTTTCAGATGGCTAAATCCCAACAACCAGCATCCAGCTTGCGGCAGCTGTAAAGCACCAACATTCCCTTCATGTTCACGACAAAAACAACAACAAAAGGCGTAGGAAGATTTTGGCGAAATTATGCTTAAAAATAGGTTGTGTGTTTGCTTCTCAGGAGGGGAGACGCCGCTTTCGGGGGGCTGTGCCCCCGAGGGGTACTCACTTGAAGAAATCCTCCTTGCAGTAGACGCTGCCGGCCCGGGAGAAGCAGCGGTCGGCCAGCTGCATCTGGCAGTCGGCACACTTGAGGCAGGAGCTGTGCCAGTGCCGGTCCAGGACCTTGAGGATGAACTTGTCCAGGATGTGCTGGTTGCAGCCGGCGCACTGGGGGATCTCTGGGCAGGGGGGGAGAGGGATGGAGAGAAGAGCAGCGTCAGCCCCCGCAGCCCCGTCGGCCCCGCGGGGCCCCCACCCGGCTGGCAAAGCCCCTCCTGGGCACATGCCAGGGCTTTGTGGGGTGAGGAGGTGTCCCAGCACAGCTGCCTTTGCCGGCCTTTGCCAAAACCCTCAGGGACAGCAAAGCCCACGGTCCCACCGGCTCCTCTGGACACAGACACACACACGTGATGCTTTTCCTTTCTGCACCCCGTTTTCCAGACCGTGTCCTGCTCCCTGACACCTGTCTCCCTGCCTGCCTCTCGCTCCCTCTGGAAAGGCATCCCACAAACCCCAAACAGGAACGCAGCCTGTTGGTCCCCATGGGCCAGGGGTTCAGCTGTGGGGTCCCTTGTGACCCGGGGGTGCAGGGCACCTCCACCTCACCGCCAAAGGCTTTGTCAACACGGACAAGTCTCTTCCCCTCCGCTCCCCCTGCATCCCGAGGACCACGAGCCACCCGTGCTGGCCATGCCGGCCCCTCCTGCAGGTGCCCCTCTCCCTGCAGTGCCAGGGCACCACATGCCTTTGCATCCTCCATGGTCCAGCATCCCTTTGGACTCCGGTTTTCCTGTGATGGGGACAGCCTGCTTTCTCCCATCCAGCCAGGGTGTTACAGGCTCCTGTCGCTGGAAACGGTTGGAAAACGTGGGATGAAGCAAGGCCAAGCTGGAGCAGAGCTATCCGGGGGTATCAGGTCCAGTTCCATCCAGCCCTCCCCACATCCAGCCTCTCACACTGTGGGAGTGTGAGAAGGAAGGCTTGCAGAAGGAAGGCTTTTCTTATGGCAAGATGTATCCCTGGCCATCCAGATTTCTACACAACGTTCACCTGTAGATACACAGCTTCCATAGATCTGGAGAGCTGGATATTTCTCTCTCTCTCTGCCCGTAGCTTGGAATAAATGGGAGGTAGAGCAAGAGTCTGCAGGAGCAGATTTCACGGTAAAAGCCAGGCACATAAAGCTGACCCATACACATGAAAGCAGATGGATTTGGGGGGAAAATCCCAGAGCTGGAGAGTAAGAGCAGGAGAGATGGTTTGTACAAGGGCTGCTCCCTCCCCAGCCTGAAGCTGCTGGCAGAAAATTCCGATGGGGAAAAGGGGGTGTTTTTTGGGAATAACGTTGCTCCAAATGCTGAGGAGGCTTAGGAGGGGCTGGGTTGTCCCCAGCCGGAGTGGCACAGCCAGGTTGCAAAGGACAAGGGATGGGAATGGCGGAAGAACGTGTCCCTGTGCTGCCCAAGGCATGGGGGAGGCGATGCAGAGGGAGAGGGGTCTACCTCTCTGGCCTGGGTGCTACCGGGAGGGAAAAAGGGGGAAAAGGGAGAATAAAAAAGGAAAAAGGGAAAAGATTAAAAAAGGAGAAAATATTTTTTAAAAAGGGAAAGAATTTAAAAAAGGAAAAGGTTTTTAAAAAGGAAAAAAATGTGAAAAAGGAAAAAAGATAAAAAAAAGGAACGAGATTAAAAAAAAGAAGAGCATAAAAAGGAAATAGGTTTAAAAAAGAAAAATATTTTAAAAGGAAAAGGATTAAAAAAGGAAAAATATTTAAAAAGGAAAAATATTTTTAAAAGGAGAAAGATAAAAGGGAAAATATTTAAAAAGGGGAAAAATTTGCAAAAAGGAAGAAGATAAAAAAAAGGAAAGGGAAGGAAAGAGAAAGAAAGAAAACGGGAAAAAAGAAAACAATAAAGGAGAAACGAAAAAGCGTGAGAGAAGAGAGAAAATGAATTAAATTGGACAAGGGAGAAAAAGAGAATAAAGGAAAAGGGAGAAAGGGAAGAAAAGGGGAAGGGGAAAAAGAAAGAAAGAGGGAAGAAGGAGAAAAAAAGAGGAAGGAAATAAAGAAGGGGGGGAATAGGAAAGAAGGTGGGAAGAGGAAGGAAGGGGGAAAGGAGAAAAAGAGCACAGAAAATAATCATATTGTTACAGCCTCAAGTAACATTATTTCAAAATCCTTTGGGGTACTGACACGTACCTCACGTGAAGGCAGCTTATTTCATTCCCCAAGTTAGACAGTTACAATCCCAGCGCCTTTCAGACCGTAGTTATTGCTGGCATTTAAGCCCCCGTCTCATTAACAACAGCAGAATAAATTCAAAAAGCAAAATTTCTACAGCTTGCATAGGTCCCTGTTTTCCTTCTCGCTTTGAGAACACCTGGATGCCTCACTCCCCTCTCTCCACCCCCGCGGCTGCAGGTGGGCACCAACCACATTTTCCACACTGGATTTGTTAAACCCGTTCGAGAGAGATGCAAAAGCCGCTGGCACCGGCGATGGCACCAGCTCAGCATCAGCCCGAGGAAATCCTTCTCGGTTATTTCACAAACGCCAGTGCACCTTTAGGAAACGTTTTATATATAAATGACTGTTTATATAACACGTGCCTGTATTTATATGTACACATCCTACATGTATATATACACACACTCACAACTAACAAGCAGCTTTCTCCTCCCTAAGAGCAGCAACACAGCTCCATTTCAACAGGCAAACAACTGCAGCCGATAACGCAACATCTCCCTTCGAATTTCCAGAGAAAACTACTTTTTTTTTTTTCTCCAAGAAGCGAACGATTTTCCTTCCAATCTCGCTGCACAAGTACAGTACCAACCCCATGCACTGTGTGTGCAATGATGTCTGTGTGTGTGCACACAGAAGTGCAGAGCTCGCACCCAGTTGGTTGCTTCCCCCTGTGCATAATAATAATAATAATAATAATAATAATAATAATAATAATAATAATAATAATGGGGGAGTTGCCAGGGGAACCAGGAGATGTCCCAGTCAGCCCATTGATTTTCAGGGAGAAAACATCTCAAATTCAAGCCCCGCGACCTGCTTTGTGCTTTGCAAGGGACGCGGCTGCCTCCCTGCCTCGCATTTATTGCGCTCGTTTCCACTAAATTATTTGGTAGAACAGGAATAAAGTTAATGGATATAATTGACACAAGAGGAATAACGCCCTCCCTTGCTGTCTTTGCCCACCAGCAAACCCGGGCTGGCTCCGTGCGCAGGGTGGTTTGATCGATGCTCCGGGGGTGGGAGGGGGGACACAGCCGCGGGGTCCCCTCCTCTCCACGCCGGGACCACCCCAGGGATGCAGCAGCCTCAATACAAACCGCTCCCCGGGGCATGGGGGGTAAGTTTGGGAGTCACGCCCCTCCCCGGGGTGATGTGCCTCCCGCCGGTGGCTGCCCGGTCGGGGATTTGGCCGTATCCCATTAAAACCCGTGGGCAGATCCGCAATCCCCCGCCTCCCCACGCAGCCTCCCACGCACGGGAACCCGAGCGATGGCCTGGCAGGGGCCCCACGCCCCCACCGCCACCGTGATTTATTAGCGGCGGGTCCAACCTCCAGCCCTGCTTCTCCCCGACGGGAAAAAAAATTAAAGAAATAACGATGGAAACGAAACAAACGCGCCGGTGGCCTCAGTAATCCCTCAGACCGCAAAAACCCCTCTGAAACCGAGCGGGGGGGATGTGGGGGCAGCGGCGGGGGGGATGCGCTCCCCGGCGCGCCCCCAGCCCGGCCCTGCCGGGCACCGCGGTGCCGAACCGGCCCCTGTTTTTGGGTTGCGTTTTGCTCTTTTAAGGGGAAGGGATGGTCACCCGCGGATGCTGCAGAAAGGGTTCCCGGGAATGCGGGTGGAAAACCGGAGCACAAAGGCGGCCCCATTTACACCCTCCCCCCGCGGTACCGGAGCCTGCACCGAACCCAAAGAAAGCAACACATTGGGGATTCCTTAAAAAGTCTTTCTGCGGGGAGGAAAACATCATTCCTTCGCATGCAAAAACCCTCCAATTCATTTCTCTGCTGCGGGCAAACGACTTTCCCAGCGGCGATTAATCACTCCCCTCCCTCCAGCCCCTTGGCCAGAGCCTGCCGGCACCCGGGCACCGTTCCCACAGGCTTTGGCACAAGTTTTGACTTCGGTGAGATTTGCAAAACAATATTCATAAATAATATTTGGAATTTTATTTTTAACAATCCCGTCTGCAAGGCTGAGCTAGGTCTGTCGGGGGCGGGGGAGGAGGGGCTCAGCTCCCCAAAATCCTGCAGAAGAGGGTGATGTAAAGAGGATGCTGTAGGACACAGTCTCTGCTAAATAAGGTGGTTAAACTGAGAGGAAAATCTGCGATTTAATAGCGATTAGAAATTAAAATGTCACGGATTTTCCTCGCACATACGATGAAATACCGAGGGGCTGCTGGGGGCTGGGAGTAGACCCCGGCTCCCCCTTGGGAAGGGGTCCCCTGCTCAGGCGCAATTCCCTTTGGCCCAGAGGGGACTGTGTACTGTGTAACTGGGACAGGATCAGGCCCCAAAGCTGTCACGACATGAAAGCAGGTGGCTGGGAGCTGGCAGCGGCCGCGGGGATCGGGCTGGAGCAGCGGGAGAACCACAGAACGATGGAAACTTTTATAGCAGCCCACTCTCCTCTATTTTACTTCTGCGGCTGTTTTTCGCACTTAAATAAACAATGATAATAGTAATAATAGCAATAACAGAAATAATAGCAATAGTAATAGTAGTAGTATAATAATAATAATATCTCGTTGGATTCTTTCCTGCTAATTGCTGACATCCATCAGTCGGTACAGGAATGACAATGTCACGGGCAGGGGAGTTTGGTGGACCCCAGAAGGGCCAAACCAGGAGCTTTGCTGGGGCGATGCTGCTCCAGAGTGATTTAGGCACCTCATTTCTCCCTAAATCAGGGGGGCCCCGAGGCCGAAGAAGTGACCTTGCCGCTGGGAACCGGTCGGGATGCGGCCGTGGGACAGACCCTGGCTGTCCCCGTCCCTGTCCCTGCACCGGTGCCGGCTCTATGCTCCTGACCGGGATTTTTCTTCCTCTCTGCTGCGGTGAATTACGGCTAAACGGCCCCACCTGCCCCCCTCCCGGAGCCCAACAACGGGACCGAAACGGGGGATAACGGGGACAGGCCTCCCCCAGCAGGATGGAGACCGGCCGCCAGCAGCCTCAGGCAGGGGCACCGGCCTCGCTCCCCGCCAAACACCCACGGAAAACGAATTACAGCCGCCCGGGGGGGGCGGGGGCCGGTGCAGGGCTCGGAACGGCGAGGGAGGCTCTGGGGGGCAATGGTGAGAGGTGGGGGGGGAACCCGGCCCGGAGCGGGCAGGTGACAGGGTGCGCACCCCCCCGTTACCCAGTGTCCCCCGACATGCGGCCGGACCCCGGCCGGGCTCTCCTGGGGCTCAGGCCCGTTTCTACCCACGCCGCTTCCCGAGCTCTCCCCCCTCGCCTCGGCTCCCTCCCCTAAACTTTTCCGGTGCCGCTCTGGGGGGCCGAGCCTCGCCCGACTGCCACCGGTGGGGTCCCCCCGTTCCGGGCCCGTAGGGACGGCCTGGGCCTCGGGAACCGTTTGGAAACGAGGAGAAAATAAAATAAAATAATAATAATAATAATAATAATAATAATACCCGCGGAGGCCACGTCTGCTCGCCTGCGCACCGGCCACGGCCGCCCCCCGCCATCCATAGGGGGTATCCATAGGGATGCGTGTGCCCATAGGCTCCCCCCGCGTGGGGCTCGGCGCTACAGGGAAGGGGGGGCCGACGGCCTCTATGGCTCACACCCGGCTGCCGGCGCGTCCTGCTCGGGTCCATCCACCTGTGGGGTCCATCTGCCCGTGTGCGCGCACACACACACACACGCGTATCCTATTTGCACCCCCACGAACGCGCTACCTGTAGCTGCTTTTTGGACAGACACGGCGGCACCGCTCCACGTTGCCCGGCCGGGCTCGCCATCCCAGCATAACCCGCACGCACACCCGCGGGTCCCTTCCCACCGCCGCCGTTCGCTGCCTTGTCGCGATAAACGATACAAGCGGGGTGTCGTGCGCTGCGGGCCGGGGGTGCGCAGGGGCGGGAGGGGATCGGGGCCACGCACACACATAGACAGACACACAGACAGACAGACACACACACACACAGACACACACACACACGCACTTGTACACGCACAGCCGGAGCCGCGGCCGCACCGTCCTCCCCATCGGGGCCGGGCCCGCATTCCCCCGGGGCACCGCTCTCCCTCCCGCGCGCTCCAAATTTTTACGTCCATTAACGGTGCTACACACTGGGAAAAACAAACGGGAAGGGCAGAGCCGGGAGCGACCGGGAGCGGAGGCACCTGCACACCCGCAGGGCGCTGCCCCGCCGGCCCGGGGCCGCCCTTGCGGCACGGAGCGAAGGAGAGAGAAGAGAAAATGGTCCTTACGTTGCACCGGCACACCGAGGATCTCGGGAAGCCCCTTGACAGCCCCTTCGGCAGCGAGCGCGGAGCTTTGCATCATTTTATTGGCCCGGGGGGCGGCGGAGGGGAGCGAAGAGGGGCGGGAGAGCGGCGGGCCGGGCCGGCGGAGCCCGGCGGCGGGAGGTGGCGTGTCCCGGTGCCGTGTCCCGGTGTCCCGGTGCCGGTGCCGCCTCCCATTCATTCCCCTGCGGGGAGCGCGCGTGACGTCACCGCCCGCAGGGGGGCGGGGGCGGGGCGGGCCGCCCGCGGCCAATCAGCGCCCGCTCCGCGCCGGAGGGGGCGGGGCCTAGTGGCGAGGAGGCGGGGCTTGTGCACGGGGGCGGGGCCTGCGGGGAAGGGGCGGGGTCTCGAGGTGCCCCGGGGCCGGGCCGGCCTCCAGCGGCTGTCGCGACACAGCGCTGTCGAGACATGGTCCTGTCCGGTTCCAGGGAGCTCTGTCCGGCCGAGCCTCTGCTGGGAGAGTGAAGAGCCAAAGGCCGTGATCTCTGCTGTCCGGGCTCAAGGACCTTCTCACACTCCATGGAAGGTGTTGGCAAGTCCCCACTTTGGGCATACAGCTCCAGCCCTGTCCCTCCTGCTGCTGGGAATGGGGGTGTAGTCAGGGGAGCACCTTTCCTTGCTCCAGCAGACACTGGCACATCGCCATCCCGTTGCTACCACGCCAACACCAGTTACTGCCCGGTGACTGGTACCTCCTAGTATCAGTTATTGTCCAGTGGCTGGTAACTCCCGTGGCAAGCTCGGCTTCCACAGGGCACTGTAACACTCACCCGGAGCTCTTCCCAGTCGTGGCTCCCTCAGGGACACACGTGGGCATGGAAAGAGCCAGCCCAAGTCCACAGGATGCCCAGTCTGACAGCCCAGCTGGCAGTGGTGGCACAAGGGTGGTGATGCCAAAGCCAAGAGGAAAAGGGATCGGCGTGGCTATGGCTCCCAGGAGGACCCTCACGGGACTTTGCCCAAGGAAAACCCTGTGCCACCAGAGGGACAGCAGTGGGGAGGTACCTGGTGGCAAAGGGCTGAGCAAGGAAGTTCAGTGAAACGCAGATGATGTTAAGCCGGAGTGGGTGCCTCGAGCATCACCTTTCCTGGTGCTCATTGTGTCACCGGCTCGGGGACAACGGTGCCAAACAGCCCCGATGTGCTGGGACACCCTGCTCTGCCTGGCCGAGGGGTGCTTAGAGCACTGGGCAGGGTGGAACCCCCGAGGTGACACACGTGCCAGTGCTGGGAGGGGTGTGGGAGGATGCTCACCCAGCCACCCTCAGCACGTGTGCCCTTTCCATGCCTTCATTTCCGCCTTGAAATGCGAATTAGGAAAAGGCTTTTTCCACCTGAAAAAAACCTGAACCACCCCGTCAGGAAATGTGCGTGTGGGACAAGCCAGCGGCTCAGGAAAAATTGGTTAAAAATAAAAGTAATAGAACCTAAAAAATGTATTAAGCCTGAGGGTTCCTTAAGAAAAAAATTAAGTTTTTCTATGAGCTGCTGAGTTTTGACCCCCCAAATCTTCATTTTTACAAGCAATACCCTGTCAGGCTCATCTCACGCCTCTGGGCAGAGACTGGTGCACACTCATTGCAGGAGATGGCTCACCCCGCACTCCACAGAGCCCCAAAATCGACTTCCCACGGCGCTGGAGATGAACCTCATCCTCTCCCATCCGGTTCCCTCCCCTTCTCCCCTAAATCAAGCTCCGGCTCTTAAGTGCATTAAGCACAACCAGCCCCCGCCGCCCCCGGCCACCTGCGCTCCGCAGCCCCTCGGGACAGGGGTCACCGTCCCCCCCAGTCCCCAGCCAGCCGGAGTGTGGCTCCCAGCAGGCAGAAAGGCGGGTCCCTAGGGCAGATTTACGGGAGAAGTTTAGCCGGATGTGCGGACAGACGGACAGACGGACATTGCCCCATCGCCTCCCTGTCCCGCTGCTTTGCATTTCCAAGCTATTTCCCTAATTATTCCACCGCTGCTGGGAGTCATCTCAGTCCCCCAGCTCTCCGGCACGCTCTGATTTATCTCTCAGCCGGGATAACAGCTCCCCCCACCCCCTTCTCCTCGGGGAATTCAATTTTCATTCATTTTTCTGCTTTGCCAGATTGATCCAGCCCCCTCTGCCCCGCTCGGGATCACTCATGGCAGCGATGAGTGGGCACAGGGAGTCGCACAGCGCCGAACCCTCACCTGGGGGGAGCATCGTGCTGCAGGGGGGGCTCCCACCACTAAAAAAATACCCCACCAGCATCTTCCCCCCTGCTTGCTCACGGCTCACCACATCTTCCCTGCAGAGCCTTCATCCCTTCCTCTCCTTGTAGTACTGCTTTGTTCCCCTCCGTCCTTCCTGCTGTCCATCTGTTCTTCATATTGGTGGGGGGTTTTTTTGGTCTCTTTGGGTGTTTTCTAGGTCACTTCTGGGCTTTTTTGGTCTCTTTCCCCAGCATACAGTTATCTCAGCGCATGAGGAGGAGGGGACTGTGGAGATGGGCACAAGCTTCTTGACCAGCAAACCCCCTCGGTGCCACCCAAAATGCTGCTGGGTCCTCCCTGGTGCTGCCCAAGGAGGGAGGTTACAGGTGATGGGTGTGAAAGGCCCCCCTTCAGGTTTTCTCCTCCTCCCAGAACTAAAACAGAGCCGAGGGGCGGTGCAGAACAGTTGAATGTCATAATTTTCATCAGGTTGCATTTGTGAGACAGTCTGGGGGGGTCTGGCCCCGCTCAGTTGCCCCACTTCCACCTTGGCATTGCCCAAACCCCTCTGGCCCTGCAGCTGGATGAAGACACAAGCAGTGTGAGGCGATGATGCAAAACCCACAGAGGAGCAGGGACGGTGCTCCTGCACGTTCCCTACCGGGCTTAATCATTAATAAAATGCAGGTAAACCCCAGAGCTGTGCCGAGACACGGACCCAGCCTCCCCTTTTGCGCCCCAGCACTGGGCACATTGGAATTGGGGCTGGTTTGGGCAGCGTGTCACCGAGGGGGACATCGGTACATTGTTCCCTGATGCAACAGGGGAGTTTCACGGCAGAATTGGGGGCGGGGGGTGTAAGGAAAACCCACTCCTGACCCAGGCTGGGCGGTGCGAGCACAGCTGTGTCCCTCGTCAGCAAACTCCGAGTAGGTTTGGAGGTGCTGGGCAGCTGAGCCAACAGCCAGGCTTTGTGCCACCCGTGCAGTGAGTTTGTCAGGTCTCAGCCCAGCCCCCCCCAGAGTCCCCTTATGTGACAAAACCAGCTCTCCCAGCCCAAGAGGGGAGACATCCTTACAGCAACAAAGCTGCCACAGCCACCCTTAGGCATGGGGCCACCTCCCCTCTGGGCAGCCCCGGCCGCAGCACCATAAGCCCCCACCACTCCCCACTTCTGATTTATCCCAGTAATTACCTCCTCCCACATACATCTCTATTGCCAGGGGTGGCCTGGAGCGAGGACAGGCATATTGAGACCCGGGTACTCACCAGCAGCCGGAGAAAGCCTCTCCCCTCGCAGGCACGGGGCGTCACTAATTGTAATTGAAAATTAATTGGCGCTCAGCGAACCCCCGGTGATTTTACGGCCGGAGCGCGGGTGGAGAAGGGATGCCGACGGAGAAAGGCTCTTGCCTGCGCCGAAGAGGGAAAGGGAAGAGGTGCAAGGCTGGAGGGAGCGAGCGCCGAAGGGGTGGGAGGGTGGCTGGGTGTGTGTGGGGGGCGGCCACCGGCCTCGTGGAAAATTAAATTGCACTTGAGGGTAAATTGTATTAGGGAACAGCGGCCGCCTCACGCCAGCCTGAGGCCATTTGAGTAGTTAGCCCCAGGGACCCCCCGGCTCGAGGCAGTGCCGGGAAGGGGTAACTCCATCGGGGAGGACACCTCGCGGGGCTTGGTGTGGGGATCCCCCAGGACAGCCTGTCCCACCTGTGGGTGTGGCCACGGCACAGTTTGATGCTCCCCCTGTGCCAGGGCTGGGGTGGGGGCCTGTCCCCAAGTCACCATCCTGAGGGGGGGACACAGTGTGGGGGCCACCGAGCTCTGCCGCGGCCTCCTGCCTGCACTGGCCCCTTTGTGCCCTGAATTGGGGTTCCCCAGGTGTTGGAGGGGGACACTCCGGTGCCACAGCCCGGGGAGCCGGGGCCGGGAGGATTGGGACTGCACCAAACAGGATTACGGAAAGTCTATTTACTAGACTCTCTTTTTCCTGCGTGCACGGAGCTTTACGCCGCGGGCCTGTCGGGGGTGCTAATCTGGGCATCCCGCTAACCCCCTTCCGGCAGCGCCCACCTCCCCAGCCCTAATCCCCCACACCCTCCTGCCGCAGCCCCCCGTGCACCCACCTACAGCGCCCCCCTGCCCACCCCTGGCACTCCCACGGAGATATTTTGGGGCTGAGGTAACCGCGGGCAGCCCCACATCGCAATCCCTCCGTCCCCCACAGGGGAGCAGCTGGCGGGGAGGGGGTGCGAGGGAGGTTATTGATGTTGGGGGTGAACCCCTCAGGGAAATCAAGGAGAAGGAGGCAGCAGCGATGAGACCTTCCCCATCCATCACCCGGTGGTGGGCAGGGCTGGAGGGACACAGCCCCCCCTCCACGCTGGGATGAGGCCACTGAGTACCCGGCAAAGGGACATGGCCAAGGCCAAGTGGGCCAGCAGTGGCGGGACCGGGGTGCCAGCACCACAGCCCCCGGAGGTGTGACCACGCACAGGCATTAAAGAAGGAAAGACCGAACAAGGGAATTCATTTCAAGGGCAGGGAGGAAGGAAAGGATGGAGGAGGCAGAGCGCCCGTGCCTGGGCAGGAGCAGAGCCAGCCGCTCCCCTCCCCTTCCTGCCAGCCCTCGCCTCCCACCTGGGCAAAGTGAAGATATCAAGAAAAAGGCTCCAAATCGGATTGACACCCCCCCTCCCCCTTAATAAAGTTTATTATCGGCCGGGCTCTAATCCTTTTAAATCCCCCACGCGGGGGGATGGGCCAGGATTAGGGGAGGGCAGCGTAATCCCAATGAATTTGTTACAGGGGGATTTAGGCAGCGCCGGGAGAGCAGATGGCCCCAGCCCTGGCTCTGGAAAA